AGAGCTCTGAATTGATGCAACAAATGAATATCAGCTGAGATATAAGGATTACATTTAGTACATTCAATCTCACTCAACTACACCACACTGGTTTTATTTTTAGAGAAAATCTAAATGCATTTTTACTACAAACGAGTTACTTGTTGACATGAGAGATGACAACCGCTGTTTTTTTCTAATTTATCCCGTCTTCCTGTCTCGGATCTGAAGTGGAATGGGTGTTTCTGCATTCACTGCTCGTCAGTAAGAACATCAGGCTTTGCTGGCTCTCTAAGAGGATCATTTTTAAATCCACCAGAATCCATTGGCCTCTTTACAGTGCACTGTCTGGTACCAGAGGTGCTATGCACGCTCTGTAAACGTGACACAAAGGACAATTTGAACATCCTTGTGTGGGAGAGGGAGGGTCTGATGTCCCCAGGTGAGAGACACGAGGAAAGAAAATCAAAAGAAGAAGCTCCTGAAATTGTGCTGCTGTAAGAAATGGCGAGCTGTGAAACGTGACACACATTAAAATTGAAAAATGAATGCCTCCTCAGTCTCTCTCTCCCCTCATGAACTCAGTGAACCTGCATTACCTGCCGTACTGTCTGCGATGAAACTCCACTCTCATTTGTCATTCTCGGCCGTTGCCTGATAATTCTTCATGCAATGTGCTCTTTGAATGTCTTTTATTAGACGCCACGCATCGCATAATGGAACAAATAGTTCTGACAGGATGAAGAATGTCCTTTGTCTTTTACAGTAGTGCTGGTAGCAAAACAAAAACACTAACAAAGGCTCCGGCAGCAGCTACTGACTAAAGACCTAGGACTTATTCTCATGCAAAAAATGGCATTTTAAACATAAAGTAGTGAGTTGGTGATGAGATGAATGTTGGATGGGGCTCGTGACTGGGAGGTTGTTGGTTGAAAACGCTGCACCAATTCAGGCAAGAAAGGAAACACAGTAGTTGGCAGAAAGGAACTATAGCTGCCTTTAGCATTTCCCAGGTGCACTGCAGAAAAAGAGCCTTTGTGTTCAGCAAGCTCTCTGTGGATAAATAGAAGTTTGTAAAAACAGCCACATCAGAAAATAGAGCTGAGGGGATCAGGACTTCATTTCATTGATCTGGTTCAAACCAGCATAATGGAATGGAGGGCTGGTTTTGAACAGGCAGTGAACGTGGCTCCGTTGCATCCTTCTGCTGAGTCTGTATGCTCACAAGACCAGATCTAAGGACTGTTTAACTTAAGTCATTTCTAGGGGAAATACTGAACTTGGGAAGATTGCCTTCCACTACTTTGCACCTTATAAATGGAATGAATTACGGAGGATTTCGTATGGAACTCGAATGCCCATTTTGTTTGTCTGGTTATGTTTGTTTTTCTTTCTCTCCGCTGTACTAAGGTCTCTCTTGCAAAAGAGATCTCAATCATTGACCACATTACCACATACGTGTTATTATTCCATTTCCAAGTCAACTTGCCTCAGTAACATAAACATGTAACAGTTTAGACACATTTAAGATATTACATTAGTGGTATACTTGGTATTGGTCAACAATGAAATGACAATTAAAGTGGCATGAAATGTAGTGATAACAGCTGCACAGTGGGCCAGTTATAGTAATAATGGCAAATTGTTGGTAAGTCACGTCTGACAGTGTTTTGATGTCAGACTCAACACTGAGGTTGCAGTGTATCTGCTTGATCAACATCTAGACGCCTCAATCAGAGTTTCTAAGGTTATTAGCTTGAAGACACAGAACCTCCTTATTTTTTAAAACTTTTAAAGGTCCAGTGTGTAACACTGAGGAGGATCTATTGGCAGAAATTCAATATAATATTCATAGGTATGTTTCATTAGTCTATTATTACCTGAATATAGGAATTGTTTTTGTTACCTTAGAATGAGCTGTTGTTATGTACAGATGCTGCGGGTCATCTTCCATGGAGCCATGTTGAACTGCCACATTTCTACAGTAGCCCAGAAGGGACAAACCATACACTGGCTGTAGATAGAGGTGTTTTTCGCTACGACAAACATATCTTTGGCTTTTCTGTAATGCAATTTTTTGTTGCTTGTTTTGTGACACTGATCTGCAATGAGCTTATATCTGCATTGTTCTTAGTGTAAATGTACTTCATTATTTATTAACAATTTCTTCTAAGACAGAAACCCTTCTGCTGTTATGCTGTCTTCAGGTTATATTATATGGTAGTATGATGATATATAAACCAGGGGGAAGAGTCCTCATCAGGACTGATCTTCCTGCCAAGCAAACAACTACAATAACTGTAATGCTGACATCAGTGCTTGGCCTGAAAACATATTTAGGCCAATTTGTTTCCCCACTCTGATGACATTTTTGGTGATAAATGGTCCTTGTTTCTATGCCACATTCATCTCTGTTTTGTAATTAATGTAGTGCTGGGAAATAATCCAATATTATCACTTAGTGTCTGTCACTATAATCTTATTATAATGATATCAAGAAAGCTAAAACATCATTTGACACAAATGTATTTTTAGGCGCATGTTTTTATGTGTATGTTGTATTGTGTGTGTGTGTGTGCGCACTGTGTCTACACTGTCCATTGTATTAACCCACAGTTGACCTGCTTTCAGTCTCTGCTTGCAGAAGAAGACAGAGGGTTGACTGGGCTTCTGGCATTTGATGCCATGTGGAGGGAAAGTGCCCTGGGCTGCACCCTGCTGACTGCTCAGCAACCCTGGGACAGCAGCAAGCACCAAACAGCTGTAAGACTCACTCACTGATCCCACAATTCACCTCAGATAGCTGTGTCATACTTCAGCTAGGGCTCCCGTATCAACCTAAATCTGCACACTGACAAAAATGAGCCATAATATAATAATGTGCATCCGTTAATGTGTATCAAATTAAATGTTGTATTCATTGTATTCAATATAAATGCTGCTGAGAAAATGCCTCTTTGAGATAAGGCAGAGAATTAAACATTCAGCGCTCCTAGAACCCTAAAAATCCACTAAAAACCTGAAAAAAAGAGCAAAAACAACACAGACATCAAGGCTCAGGTGATCACATATATCACATCATCTCACACTCACACAACCTACAGCCTTGCCACAACCTGAATGCAACCAATAACGTCAATGCACTGCTTCAAGAGACATGCGCACAGTGACTGCGACATGCGTGACTTAATGCTCATCCATCCACCAGTCCCCATCATCCTCTGGAGCGTTGCGTAATAGGACAAAGATTAGCCTCGCGGACCTAAACATCAGCAGCGTTTGGCTACAGCTCCACCTTGACCTTTTCATATATTTGTGTGTCTGTAGGGAAAACCGGACTGCTCTGCAACGTTTCCACATGCTGTGTGCACCTGTGAGTTGATTGTTTCAAGAAAACAGGCTTTCATTTAGTTTGCGAAACAACTGTTTCCTAAGAATAAGTGATAAATGAGTCACCTCCAGATAAGTCAGTATTGTGGAAAAAGTCACATTTCTCAGGTCAGCAATGCAACATCTAACAACAACTAAGCTTTCATCTACTAATGGACCTCCATTTTTTAAGATTTTCTCCCAGGCAAGGCCAGGGAATCCGGGGTGAAGGGGGTTTAGAAAAAGGAAAGGTTAGGCATTTTTTCTTTTTGCTGAAGGGAGAGTTTTTGGGTGCTGTTTCTGCATCCTAACAAAAAGCCGAGCTACAGTAAAGTAAAACAAGTAAAAAAAAAAAATGTAACAATGTCTCTTGGCTCAAAAATAAAGAATGGCTGGGATATCTGGTAACCAGGATGTCTTAAGTTTGCAATCATTTTGACAATTAACAATTTCATTTTTACTGTGCAAGTCGGTGGCTATATTAAAATTATAATAGCAATTATAAGATTATAAGATAAACATGTAACATTTCCACATTAAATTGTCTATAAATGTAATATATTTTAAGTTTCCAACAGTGTTCAAACCCAGAGGAATTCATACATTTTAATGTATTCATTCATTTCATGGTGCATTTCCTACTTGCCTCTAGTTGCTATAATTTCGGGGTAAACGTGGAGAAGTTGGATACATCAGAGAGTGAAGTCGGCGAACGGACCAATGGAAGGTGAATAAAACTTTAATACGTAACCACAATTTCTATTTCTGCCTGAGTCAGGTCAGATAGATTTTCACCAGCATTGGTTGTTCAACAATGGAGATAACAACTCCCATAATGCCACATGACTTCACAATGTCATCAAACTGTTTTTGTTTTGTTATTGTTTTGATGTAAGAGACCCTCTAGCAGCAGATAATTACATACTGTACGTTTATACATTTAGAGTCAAACTGAGTGCAATCATAAATCTTAAATTATTTGACTGGAACATTCACTGTACCTGTAAATGATTTGCTTTCATTGCTGACATTCAGGTTTCTTTTGAAAAACACAACATCATTAAAAACATCTGTGTATGCTGGGCGTATTGTACTGACATATCCACCTACCGCATGTATACACAAATGTGTTTTCCAGCATCACTGGCACTCCATTGCACTATTGTCTTACTGCCTACAAATGTTATTGTTGTTGTTTATGTTTATATATGTATGTATAAAAGTGATTCTGATTTGTGCAGTTGTTTATTAATGAAAAAATAATTGTGTAAATTTATATTGCTTTAAAATATTGGGAGGGCGTTGCAGTTGTTCTCCTAGTCAAGGGGAGGGTCCAAAAAAATAATACTGGAGTGGGCTTTATTTTTAAAAACGTGAAAAATGAATATAGTTACTCCCTCCCCACCGCAATCATTTTTGTACAGTCCCTAAACATTTCCACCTGATTGGTCGATAGGCATTTATAGTGTGTAAAATCTCTGAGTCTTTTGTGTCTTAATAAAGTCTTAGAGTAAAGTATATATACAGGCAGTAAGTATCTATTTCTGCTACATCCTCGCGCACAGTATCAGTTTTGACCCCTGTGACCCTTCATGGTCCCTGAGGGCTCTGGACTCTGGCACTGCACCATGACAGTTAGTGTGTACACTCACTTGTACGAGCTGCCGCCTGCGATCTCCTCTTTGATCTGTCTGTTCACCGCATCCGCCGCCGCCCTCCCTTTGCCCTCTCCTTCCACCTTCAGGACAACTTTCTTCACCCCCTCCTGTTTACTGGACTTCTTTTTCCTCTCCTGGCCCTGGAGGAGGTCTTTCTCCTGCACCTTGTCGGCTATAGCGCTCTTCTCCACACCGCTGTCCGCATCCGCCGACGCCAGGTGCTGTTTCGCGTGCCTGGACCTGTCCGGTGCCCGGTCGTCGGTTAGGGGCGGTTTTGGTATCCAGGGGTGGTCGTACCTTTTCGGGATAGGCCAGGGCTTGTAGTCCTTCTGGTACTGGGTCTCGCTGTTGAACGGTGTTTCCGGTCCGTGGTACTCGTTCTTGGGTTTACAGCTCGGTTCGGGTCTCACTTTCCAGTGCTTAAAGTCCTCGCGCATCACCGAGCTGCACACGCGCTCCTCGGAGACGCACCTTCGCGGCGCGCGTGCAGCCGTCGGGGTGCGGGTTTCTGCGCGAGACGGCTGCGTTTCTATGGCGACCCGGGCCTGGGCAGGGTGGAGCGGCGGCTGCAGCTGGATGTGCTGCATCTCAGAGACGTCCGTGTACTTGGTGAAGACCAAAGGCACTGCAATGTCAGCCTTGTCCAGCTGGTTCCAGAAGCGGGCCATGCAGCACGCCCGGCTGATACAGGGCCACGCCATGGTGAGCTTTACAGAGCTCCACTACAATTCAATCGGCACCGGGTCCAAAACGAACAAAAATACGCCTGTACACTCCGGTGTCCTGATGTGAGAGAAACAAGATGTCCGTGTGTCACGCTGCACGGATGGCTCCAATACTGTTGACGTTAGATTTGGTTATTAAATAAATCCATTGTGCTTCTAAAATACACAGAATTTTTAACAAGTTTGATAAAAACAAGTGCACTGACGTTTGCTGTGCTTCCCTCGGTGCCCGCTCTGTCCCGTACGTCCTGCTACATCACTCCACGGCAGGGCACTGCTAGGAAAAACTGCCCCGCCCGCCTGCTCAGCATCCCTGAGAGACAGAGTGGAAGCCGCCGAGGAGGAAAATAAAAATCAAGTCAGAGAGAATATCAAAGGAATTCCGGTTTAACCTGCCGCCCAAAAGCCGCACTGACGCTCTTGTGAGAGTGGAATTAAAAAAAACTCCAACAGAAAACAAAACACATCGAAAGGAATGCATATTATACAGCGACTAAATCTCTCACGTCGCATGTACATAGCCACAAACACTCAATTAGGGCTTTTATTTTGAAAGTTAAAAATCAATTTCCGATATAAGGCTTATAAACACTGCTTCTTGATGATGTGTTTTTACGCACACTGCGTAGAGGTACAGGAGGAGGGACGTTTGGTCCAGCCATCACTTGGCTTCTGTTTCATCATTTTGATGTTTGTGAACTTTTGGTGGTCGAAAATGAGAAACATTCTTCCCTAATGTACACAAAATGAAAGTTAAATAAATGTATTTAAGGATGATACCTAAAGGAATATTCTGATACCAGATGAGTAAGAAAACATTTCCATTCACTATTGGCTAATATATGTAATAATTATGGTTGTAATATATGAAGTATAATAGTAACTTTATTTAAATTACGTAAAACATAGCTTACCAAAGCCATAAAGGGCTACTGATTCATGCAAAATATCCTTTGTGACTTAAAAATATCCATTATTTGCAGACTGTGCCAGAAAACATGAATAATGCCAACTCATTACACACCCTGAGGGCCTGTTTTCACATTGGACTACAGCGTCTAAGACATCTGAATTACAAGCACATTATCTAAATAGAGTTAGTTTTTATAATAAAAGCTGGCAGCTCATTCTTAGAAGCAATAATCACTCTCACGCATGATGTTTCCTTTTGTTGTACATTTTTATTGTTGTGTCTTATTTATCTGCAGTTGCCTTCAGTGAGTCCAGGTAAAACATTAACTGACTGTATTCAAGATCAAAGTGTTAATGAGGTGATCAACGCAGATAATCCCTGAATAAATCAATAATTTATGAAGATGTAATCAAAGGGCAAAACAAAATGGGATTGCAAGCCTACTTATTGGCCCTGACAAATGTCAATCTAACAGAGGTTAATGAGAGAAAGAGATTAAAAGGAGACAGAGAGGGGGAGAATATGCAAGGTTTTACATCCCTCTGAGTGTGCAAGGTATGGGTGGCTCCCCCACTATCTCCTGTTATCTTTTTTTTTCTTCATCAACACCTTGGATAAACTTTCAGTCAACAGTCTGCCTTGAACAAAGGCATCTCTAAAGTTTTTCTGCTGACAAAAGATGTCTCCTACTTCACTGTGAAGTCCATTCTCAGTGGATGTGCATTTGTGG